GGCTGAAATTCTGTGTATCAGCTCATGTAATCATATTGACTCATAAACGTGATATCTCGATATGAACTGATTACAAATAATCAAAAAGTATTTCAGTGTCGCGTGAAAATTTAAATAGGAAAAAGAGAATATTGGACATGCTGTATATTAATAATTATATTATCAGCTAGTTAGTTTTTTTTTCATTAATTTAAAGTATTCTTTTAGGATAAAGATAATGTTTATCCAAGATAAAAGGGTAAGTACAGTACATTACATTACAAATAACTATCATTAAAAGGTAGATACGTTATTGTAATTATGAATAAAGGTAATACAAATGATCAAAAATGTTTCTCTCTCATGGTGTTTACTTAAAAACGCATAATATGATAACTATATGGTAAAGTAAATAGATCGATTAGATATAAGTTATTATACAAGATACAAGCAAATTCATGCGATCAGAAAAGTTTAATTCTCATATTTATATATAAACAGCACTTTCTCGTCAAAAAATATTTTCACAAAAAAAACAAATTTTTTTTTTAAAATTAATCTTTATCTAATATGCCTAAAAAACTCCGCGGAAAACATTATTATGCCAGAAGGAGCATGGTAATTGCTCGCCGACGGCAAAGAGCTCAGAACAACAGCAACAGCAACAGCAACAACACCACCAACCCCAACACCAACAACAACAACAACAACAACAACACCATCAACACCACCAACAGCAACAGACACCACACCATCAACACCATCAACACCACCAACAACAACAGCAACAGCAGCAACAACAACAACAACAACATCAACACCAACACGACGCAGCAAGCGCCTTCAGAGAATACACCGCTCGACATATACAATGTCCATCGTGCTCAGGAAAATGAACGCTTGTGGCGAAGGTTGGCACGGCTAAGTAAGCATTATAAGGTTATTTCCAAAATTGTGACTATTATTTCATCTTTAATTCTCATATATATATTTTTTTAGGGGAGAGATTTGACAGAAGATTTCAATGATTTTGTTTCAGAATCTTGAATAATAATATTTAAAAAAGAAACGTATTTGGCCTGGCTTAAAGAAGATAATATGATCCGACCCTGTTCATTTTTAGATCGGACTGGAAAAATATAATATGATTGTCGTCGAAGAAAATTTGCGCAATTTTGCAGTTGAACGGTTTAGCCAACCAATCAGGTATCGGTTTGTTGACTAAAAATAAAGTCGGGATACACAAAATGAGTGAGTAGGTTAAACCAAAAAAAAATTCAAATAAAAATTTATAAAGTAAAGTATTTGATAATTTGTAATCAGTAGAATAATAATGTTATATAACAGATTGTTATTAAACAGCAATTTTTATTTTATTATAAATATATTGTAAAAAAAAAAAAAAAAAAAAACCAGCAGATCCATTTTTTTATCCAATATAAATAAACGAAAGTATGGCCTTTTAATTAGGTCAACAAATATCGTTACGAAATTGCAGCGGCAAACCAAAATAAATTATTCTATATTCTAACTAAAGAAATTATTAATAAAATATTAAAAAAATAAAAAATTTTTTTTATTAAACATAAAGTACTACAAATTTTTACTTTATACTTTCTGAGCATTATGTAATACAAATATGTTCTAAATTTAATGAGGCGTCGTTCTGGTCGGACTTTTAATCAAAAGTTGAAGAAACTATTTTCCCCTGATCCAAGTTTAAACAAGTTTTTTTTTATATATGTTATATTTTTTAACGTCATAATTAGTAGTATCCATTCGTAATATTATATTACTAGGGAAAGGTAACGACAGTAACTAGTCATGTATAGACTCAACTTTTGAGCAGGCGGACATGCGGATTTAATATAATAGTCTTTCGCTATGCTGCTCCGGACTAATTAATTTATTATATATTAATATTTTTTTTTTTTTGTGCGATCAAGAATATATAAACCACAAATTTACTCTGGAAAGATTTAATCAAAAAAAATTTATTTTTTAACTCACATTTCCTTCACCCACACTTATCTCAAATTAATTTTAACCCTTTACACAAATATGGGTAATAAAAAATTATCAGCTTCCCGTAAAAAGTTTTACGCGAGAAGATCCATGGCGGAAACTCGACGCCGCAGACCCCACAACAATGTCGGCTGCGTGAGGCACGAGCTGAGGTGGAAACGCTGCAGGAAAGTATAAATTCCTTGATAGCCACCTATAAAATTAGAACAGATAGGTTGCGTTCGGTTAGGTATGCTCATAAATTATTTCAAAATTTGTTTTTTATAATTATATCTCATATATATATTTATTTATTTAG